CACTTCTGGCCTTTTATGTTTATGTGGTACTGAGAAATCAAACCCAGGGCTTCATGCATGCTAGGCAAGCACTCTACCACTAAGCCACATTCCCAGCCCCTCAAAATTTAAATTTTGAAAAATAATGCTTTTTCTCTGGGAGAGAAAGACTTGCTTTGGCTACAGGTATGCGAGTAGTATGTTGCTTTCAGCCTGAGCTCCACTTTCCCCTGAGGCAGTAACAAGCAGCAGTTCAGATGGAAGCTGCTCTGGCTCTGAGACCCTCCAGCACCTGAGGGGGACAGAGAAATGAGCTCCAATAGTGAACATCATAGAAGGGGGGCTCATGACTGAGAAAAACGCAGCCTTTTCTGAGTGATTAGTGAGGACAGGGCAGGCACACAGAAGTCCATGTTCAGGAAACCCAGAGATACCTGCTCGCTTGCTTGCTTGCTTTCCTTTCTTTCTTTCCTTCCTTCCTTCCTTTTCTTTTCTTTCTCTCTCTCTCTTTCTTTCTTTCTTTCTTTTTCTCAATGCTGGTACTATCTGAACCACACTTCCTCTTCTGGCTTTTTGATAGTTAATTGGTAATAATAGTCTCATTCACTTTACTACTTGAGCTGGCTTCAAACCTTGACTCTCAGATATCATCTTAAGTAGCTAAGATTACAGGCGTGAGCCAATGGTGCCTAGCAGACTTTGGTATTTTATATACATTGACATTTAATGTGTACCAGCACCTGGTACACATTAAGTATTCAAAAAATGTTTGGCCTTTAAACAAAAATCCTATTTCTTTATGATTTGATTTGCCAGAAATTACCTAGGTAGTCAGTAGCAAATTTCAGGACATAAATAAAATGTTCAACTTGGAAACTGTGGATGGATGGCAACCTAGAAATCAGTTTTAGTTGCCCTATAAATCTGGCATTTAGCCAAAGAGAAACCATTTTTTCCCCTACAGAGGGTTTAACTCACCAAAAAATGCATGTGAGACATGTTAGGAGTCCTGCAGAATGAGGTAATGGCATTTCTGTCTAATAAGCAGCTCATGAATGTTTCATGACTTTGGACCTCTGACATTATTTCAGTTATAGCTTAAGCTGTTTTCATATATGATCCTCTTCTAAATTTCATAAGACATCTGCTCCTCTTAAAACAACTCCCTAGGCCTGGTATGTTCCTTGGGGCCTATCTAATGGGCAAAGGAGAGGGTCAAGGAGGGGTGGGCTGGGGGTGATGCTCCCCCCCAGCATCCTGTATCTGTGGACTGAGGTCCCAAATGTAGCTAGGGCTCTCACACCCTTCAAGGGACTTCAAAGCTAAAAGGAAAAAAAGATTTTAAATAGACATTTGTCTTCTTACTATTTTTGTCTGAGATTGGAATTCGAACTCAGTATCTAATGCTTTTGTTCATTGCTAGTACTTTACCAGCTGAGCCATGCCTCCAATCCCCTGTAAATCCTATCAAAAGATTTACACTGAGAGACAAAATTTGCTATTTAATAATTATGGGCCTTGGTTGACCACAGATATCTAATCAAAGATAAGGAGCCAGGTGCTGGTGGCTCACACCTGTAATCCTAGCTACTGAGGAGGATGAGATCTGAGGATCGTGGTTCAAAGCCAGCTAGGGCAGGAAAGTCTGTGAGACTCTTATCTCCAAAAAAAAAAAAAACACTCAGAAAACAAAGTAGTGTTGTGGATCAAGTGGTAGAGCACTCATCTTGAGCTGAAGAGCTGAGGGACAGCACACAGGCTAGAGTTCAAGAAAAAAAAATCAAGGATAAAGGAAGAAACTACTGTATTGTTCATTGGTTAGAAGGTGGATTACCAGGAAAGTACTTCCATTCCCAAATCCTCAAGGTAGTATTTGATTTTTTCTTTTTTTAAGCCAGTCCTGAGGCTTGAATTCAGGGTCTGGGCATTTGTCCCTGAGCTTGTTTTATTCAAGGCTAACACACTACCTTCTGGTTTTTTCTGTTTACATGGTACTGAGGAATCAAACCCAGGGCTTCATGCATGCTAGGCAAGCACTCTACCACTGAGCCACTTTCCCAGCCCTCAAGATAGTATTTGAAAGAAACAAACAATGTGTCATTCTTCAGGAAACAGAGGACATAGCTATGAGATGTGAGTGTCAGGTGTTTCTCTCCCACAAAGCCCAGGAACCAAGTGGTGCCTGTGTAAACAAGTGCAGTTGTATTCACCATGTGATATAAGATGCAAAGAAATTGAGCAGAGGAGAAGCCATTGAGCCATTGCTGCCATTATTTTCTTTAGGCAGTAAATTTCCTAATTAAACAATACTACCTCTGCATACAACCCAAACCCTACTAGCCTTAAAAGAATAACATTCTATTGTTTTTCATTGAAAGAACATGTCCCTATATGTAGTTACCACCTCTATTTCAACTTGATACATCTAACTGCTGTTGCCTAGTGAAAGTGCAAGGAGTGGAGGAACAGGGAGAATGTCAATGTATATAAATAATTCTGTTGTCAGGGCTTGAACTCAGGGACTCCGTCTTGGCTTGCTCACAGTTGGTGCTCTACTACACCTCCAGTCCAACATTTTGCTGGTTAATTAGTGATGGAGTCTTAAGGACTTTTCTATTTAGACTGGCTTCAAACCAAGTCAGCCTCCTGAGTAGCTCAGATTATAGGTGTGAACTTAGCAGAAATGTGTTTCCTTTAACAAGTTTAGATAATCAAACGTGTAGAGAGTGAAATGCCTTGCACATCGCCTGTTCTTCTAATTCCACTATTTTTGAGGAGTAGCCTGTGAAGCTTGTGGGTTGTTATGGTTTGAATAGGAAAAGTTCCTGACAGGTTTCATGTGTTAAAGACTTGGTTTCCTGCTGGCGGTGCTATTGGAGAGAAAGTAGACAAGGAGATGGAACCTATGTTCAGGGAGTAGATCTCTGGAGACCAGAAGATTGAAGGTGTACCTGGTCCCTTCATCATTCCCTGTTTTCTCCCCATCATGAGGTTAGGAGCTTCTGTCACATGTGCCTGAAGCCATGATACTCTCTCTGCCTCCCTGCAGGCTCAGAACTAATACAGCCAAACACTGTGGACTAAAAATTCATGATCATGAGCCAGAATAAATCATTCCTCAAATTTGTTTAGGTCAGGTTGTCACAGTGGCCAAATATATATATATACACACACACACACACATATATAAATGGAATATTAAATGAAAGATATTTCTTGGTTTGGGGGAGGGAGGTATCACAAAAGATCAAGGAGACAGATTTACATGCCTTATTAATCTTCCCAGGATCAAATTAAATTTTGATTAAATCTCAACCATCAACTGAGGTGTTCCACAATCATACAGTTTCCTCCAAAGAGCACTGGGTGTGTAGCTCCATGGTAAAACACATGCTTTGCACAAAGGCCCTGAATTCAAGTTCTATCCCATTACCCCTCCCCTCAGAAAAAAATAAGCCAGTCTAAGAAGCAGACATGAAATGCACACTAACACATTTTCATTTATCATTAGTTTTAATCATTTTAAAAGAGCATCTTTTAAAAATACTTGTTCAAGGACAGACTTTGACCTTTACAAAAAAGTAGATTTAGCTCTTATTGTACTCCGTAGGAAGGAGAGACCTAAAAGTGATTTCTGGAGATAGTTTTGGCATACTTTCTCCTATTTGGCCCAATCCTGAAGTCCTTAAGACTAAGCCAATAGGAGCATGGGTTTGTGCTGAGAATTAGCAAAGATAGCACATTCCACTTCTTACAACCCAAGCAGCTTTCAAGGGTGGAAGGACCCTAAAATTTAAATTGTTTTAAACTCATTTGTATACCAAGGCACAACATGAACTTTGGATTTCTGGAACTGTGAGCCTCTGTTGGCCTATGAGTATCTTGGCTGGAAAGGGAACTGGGTCAAAATGCAGGCATGAGGCTGGGCATAGGTTGCTCACACCTGTAATCCTAGCTATTCAGGAGGCTGAGATCTGAGGATCATGGTTCAAAGCCAGTCCAGGCAGGAAAAGTCCTTGAGATTCCTATCTCCAATTTGCTATCAGAAAACTGGAAGTAATGCTGTGGCTCAAAGTAGTAGAGACTAGCTTGAGCAAAAGAGCTCAAGGACAGTGCCCAGGCCCTGAGTTCAAGCTCCATGACTGAAAAAAAAAAAATGCAGCCATGTGCTTTTCTCCTGTCAGCTAGGGGTGACAGGCCAAGTCTGGAGACTTGGACCTGGTACCAGATAAAAAGAGCTCATCTCAGGATTTTAAGTATGTGTCTAAAATTCCTACTAGAGCAAAACTGAATGTTTGTAAATTACTAACAGGTCAAGTAAGTTTTTAATACAGTTGCTCTAAATTCTTACTATAAAAATAATTTCTGCACCTATGCACAAACATTTTTTTTAAAAAAGATTTTTAAGGCTGGACATCGGTGGCTCACACCTGTAATTCTAGCTACTCAGGAGGCTGAGATCTGAGGATCAAGGTTCAAAGCCAGCCTGGGCAGGAAAGTCTGTGAGACTCTTATCTCCAATAAACCACTCAGAAAGCTGGAAGTGGCGCTGTGGCTCAAGTGGTAGAGCGCTCACCTTGAGCTGAATTGCTGAGGGACAGCAGCCAGGCCCAGAGTTCAAGCCCCACGACCGACAAAAAAAAAATTAAAAAGCTGCTCTAGCTAGGTATCGGTGGCTCAGGCCCGTAATCCCAGATACTCAGGAGGCTGAGATCTGAGGCTCAAGGCTAGAAGCCAGCCCAAGCAGGAAAGTCTGTAAGACTGTTTATCGCCAATTAACCACTAAAAAGCTGAGAGTGGCCTGTGGCTCAAGCCTTGAGGAAAAAAAGAATCTCAGGGACAGTGCCCGGGTCCTGGGGTTCAAGCCCCAAGGCCAGCGCGTGCACACACGTGAAAAGCATCCAATAGCTCGCCCTCCTGGCCCGGGCCGCGAGGGGCCTGGAGGCCTCTGGGTGGCGAGTTCCAGGCCACGGGCAAGCAGCTGCGCAGCCCGGGGGCAGCCCGGGGGGCAGGGCGGCCTAGGGGCCGGCGGGCTTGTCGCTGGGGCCTAGCGAGAGCTTGGCGGCCTGTTTGTCCATGCTGGAGTTGATGCTGCCCGCCTCCTTGTCGGGTTCGGGGACACAGGTGCAACCCACCGGGATGGTGACGTAGTCCTCCGCGTAGACGGCGCGGCCTCCCGCGCAGGCCGGCGTGCGGCGCAGGACCACGGCGGGCACGAACACCGGCGTGCTGCGGAAGCGGAAGTCCTCCTCCCCGAAGAGCCCCATCAGGCAGCCCCGGCACAGGCAGTAGGCCTCGGGCAGGTACCTGGGAAAGCGCGCGGGGTCGTAGGAGATCCTGCAGGAGAGAGCAGGGGAGCTCACACCAGCACCCTGCGGGGGAAGCCCGGTCTCCGGCCTTCCATGCCCTTCACCGTGGCTTTTGATGGGGCAGATGGGCTGCCTGGCCGAACCTTAGCGGGACTCCTGGAGTTTGGGCCTGGGGTCTAAAAACCCAGTTTCAGAAGGTGCAGTGGCCAGCATGAGACAATTAGAAAGTGAAAAGTGAATGGTGCCTTAAACTCAGTTTCACCCTCCTCCAAGTCCAGTAAAATGGGGCTAAGGGAGTGCACAGGTTGTCTGGGTCAGATGGCTCCTGAGAGGTCAGAGAGCCTGGCCTCATACACCCACGGGGAGTCACTCGTGGGAACCCGGAACCCTTCCCAAATGTGCCTGGGTGGAGGGAAGCAGTGTGCCCAGTCTTCATGAGACTGCCAAATTCCTTTGTACCAATCTGCCCATCTAACACATGGTGGCTCTGTCAGGAATCTGTTCTTTGTGCTGGAGCAGTGTAGGTTGGCCCCTCCATGCTACCCTGCAGTGAGTAGATAGTAACTTGTTCTCATCCCATGTCACTCTTAGCATCCTGGTGGCCTAGAGGAATGACTGGGGCTCAGGCTTGGGTGTGTGGTTGGCAGAGGCTCATCTGAATAAAAGCACCAATCCTCCAGCTGGTTTCCAGGACAAAGCTTCCCTCCATCACAGCTTCCCCTTTGGGCTGAGACCTGTGCATGAGCGCGTGAGGTTTCCCTTACCACAGGCAGGGGCTACAAAGGTGGTGGGTTAAGAGTGCGGAGACCAGACATGCTACCCAAGGTGACGGCACCAGTGCCAGAGGGCCGAGCACCAAGAATGACCTGCTCCAGTAGTGTGTTCAGGAGGACAATTGGGGACAAGTGATCGTGAGGAAAGCCCTGGGAACTCCACAGAGTCAGGCAGACTCAGAGCTCAGCCCACAGCCTCCTTGCCTGAAGTCTAGGCACTCACAGGCCAGGAGTCAGCAGCGCCTTTTGGCTAAAGAAAGCCGTCATCAGAAAGAACAGCAGGCCCCTCCATCTGGGAACCTTTGTGTTCCCAAACATGGAAAGGCTGCCAACAAGGGCTGGGCCTCGCTTCCCTGGGAGCAACCATTCCTTTGTCTCCACATTTTCTGCATGTTCCCTTGCACAAACTTGGCACAGGGGACCTGCCTGAAACACATCAAATTTTCCCCCTCTGACAGAGCTCAGAAGTGGCCAGGGGCCACGTGTGAAGCCTTGGCCTGAGTGAATGTCAGCTGGCCTCACTTAATCCAAGAACAAAGAAGTCGTCGTCCAGGGATGATTAGAGGTGATGGAAACTGAGCTCAGAGAGGAATGTAAGTGACAGCAGAGACAGAAAAAGAGCACTGCCCCTGGGGCCTGGCAGGGTAGGAAACAATTCCAAGCGGTTCCGGATGACCAACTAGAACAATGCGCGCGTTCCCGGGAGGCATGGGCCACCTGATGTGCTGTGTCTGATGCCCAAGTATAGCTGGGCATTTGCTGGCACAGACTCGAGTGGCTCATCCTCCCACTTTGTAAAACATGAAATTATTTCCACTTAAAGCAGCAGCGGCTGAGTCTGTTTCCCTCACAGCAATCCAAAGATTCCCACCCCCACTCCCCAGCTCCAGGAACAAAGCCCTTCCCTGCTGCTCTCAGGAACCCACAAGGTGCCCCAGAAAGAGGAGAGACAAAACAGCCTCAGCTAGCCTGCTTCACCAGCACTGGGCCAGTGAGCTCAGCCCAGGAGATGTTCTGAAAAAGGCAGGAAACAGTCAATTTCACCCTGAACCTAAAGCACAGGGATGGCTCCACTCTAGATACCAATTATTGATCTTGGATAGATCACTCTCCCCTGCCTGGTTTCTTTGCGAACTGCGGGATGTGACAGCCAGTTGGATGAGGGCAAGACTGACTAAGGAGGGGGAGAACGGGGGTGGGGGCATGGGGCGGTATAATATATATCAAATGTGCTATGCTTAGAGAAGACCTTTCTAATGGATCAAGTCTTCAAGTCTTGGAAGGTTGCTACAAATTTGTCTATTAAATAAGCTATAAAGTCAATGCAATTCTAACCAAAATCTTAACTGAGAACTTGGTGAGAAAAAGGACAGAATAGTTAAGATGTATATGTGTATGTGTGTGTGCACACATGTGCACGTGTATGTATGTGCTGGTATTGGGGATTGAACTGAAGGCCTGGGTGCTTTCCCTCAGCTTGCTTCTCCTCCCCCCCCCTCCCAGTAGTATGAAATTAGAGATAAGAATCTCACTGGACTTTCCTCCTTGGGCTGGATTCCAACCAAGATTCTTAGATCTCAGCCTCCTGAGAAGCTAAGATTATAGGTGTGAGCCACTAAGAACTTGGCTCAAGACAGTTTTGAAAGAGAATGAGGGAGGACTCCCATTATCACATATAAAGATACTGAAACAAAACGATGGACGACCACAGTGCCTGGCAACCCCTGGCAACACTGAGAGCCGGGCAGCTTTGCTTGCCAAGAACGGAGATCCTCTGAGACCCTTCACTGGGGAAATGAGAGGGCAGCACAATCAGGAGTTCCAAAGTGCTTTTCAGACCAGTTCTTTAAAAAAGGAAAGAAAGAAAACAAAAGGAAATGCAGGTTTTAGCAGGGCATAATGATGTTGTTACCTTTCTGTGAATCCAAGTCAGAAAAAGATATACTTTATCCCTAACTTCCTGGTTAATGCACTAATCATGTTACCAAAATTTAGGGCTGCTAAGTTGACCTGGATCTTTGCAATGGCAAAAGAAGAATTCAGGCAAGAGTCAAACATACTACAGGTGAAAGGCAAGTTTATGGGAAAAGAAATATGGCAGAGAAAGAGAGCACGTGGCTTGAATATATGCCACAGGAAGTCAGCACTTCCGCTTAGCTCAGCTATCTTGGCATTAGGTTAAATGGGGGAGAACTGGAGTCCTTGAAGACAGCTTTCTGATGGGCTGGATCTCCCTTGTTTCTTATAAGGTCGGGGTGCCAAAGATTTACTGTCCCATTTTTATTTCCTCATTTTGTTGTTCTTCTTCCTCTATTTCTTTGACAGGCAAATTCTATCAGCTTATCTCGCCATCTCCAAGTTCCACAGGCTACGATTCCTTAAACTAATTCCTATCTTGGGAAGGGGGAGGCGGGGCAAAGGAAGATGGTTAGTTCAAGGCCTACCTGGGCTACACAGTAAGACCTTGTCTCAAAAACAAAAACAACATATTCTAAAAGAAATGATGAGCTGTGCACTGGTGGCTCACACCTATAATCCTAGCTATTCAAGAGGCTGAGATGTGAAGATTGGGATTTAAAGCCAGCCTGGGCAGAAGAGTCCATGAGACTCCTAACTCCAATTAACTAGCAAAAAAGCCAGAAGCGGAGCTGTGACTCAAGTGGTAAAGGACTAGCCTTGAGTGAAAAGCCAAGTGAGAGTAGGAGGCCCTGAGTTCAAGCCCCAGTACTCAACAAAAACGAGGGAGGGAGGAAGAAGAATACAAAGTGATAGGTATGTTAATTATTTTGATTTGTTCATTACATATATGTATATATACATATATAGATAGTACCAACCATAGGGTTTGAACCATATCATATCCCATTAATTATGTACAAATATTATGAAAGTAAAACACAAATATTGTGTCTTTAAAAGAATGGCAGCAATTTACATTGTCAGACTTCAAGCATACCCATGGATTGAAAGTTCCACAGATTGCCCCTGCCCAAGTGCCCTTTGTTTATCTGGCCTGGGAGTCCCTGACATCAGTCAACAGAAACCCCTCCCTCCCTCTCAGCTCACTGTCCACAGCTGTGCTAGGGGACATTGCCACTGGTTACCCACATGCACAATGACCGTGGCAAACAACTGGATGATTGCATTTTTCCTAGTGCTTGGCTTTCAGGACTGTCCGATGCGCCTGAGTTTAACTCAGGCCCAAGGTCATTATTAACTCCACAAGAGCTCACTCTGTCAGCAGGATGGCTTGGGGCTCTTGTGCGGAGGCACAGAAATGAGATCTTTAAAAATAGTGATACTGTTTTCCACCCCTAGAGCTCTGAATTAATTACTCTGGAAGGGGGCCAAGAGGTTGGTATTTTATTAAAAGCTCCCCAGATAACTCTCATAGACAGTCCTGGTTCAGGCCCAGTGGTCTCCACAGCTCTGAGAAGTCATGAGTCATTAACACCCCCAGCTTTGAGGCCTAGGTGTGGCTCAGTGGTAAAGCACTTGCCTCCTGAGAGAGAAGCCCTAAGTTCTTTACCCAGGATTGAGAGAGAGAGAAAGAGAGGAGGAGGGTTTGTTTTAACTTTCCAGTCTTTTGTTTCCTGGGCAGAGAAACCCCTGCATCTGGGGAGGGGACTGATTATATTGCTAAAAGTAGCTCCAACTCCTAAGAGCTCCAGACAGCAGGGCCAGGAGCTGTGGGCCCTGCAGGGTCACCAGGGGGTAACTGGGGACACAGGAAGCCACAAACAGCTTCCCTCTGGGGGAAAGCAGTGGCCAGGAGGCCCATCAGATCTAACCTCCTTCCATTTGCTAAGGCCCCAGGGAGTCAAAGAGCTCCAACATGTACTGCCAAGAAACTTGGAAAAATGCTCCTCTGGCCCCTACAAGAAAACATCAGTTGTGCATTTCTCATGAAAGAGCACATGGAAAAATTTAGCCAAGGACTGCACCGGCCTGACCTGGGCACAGATTCCCGCGGGCTTCACCTGGCCAAGGAGGTCTGTGTGGCTCCATCTGGGACTGACACTGGACTGAGCTCAGGGAAGTCGCTCCAAGGTGAACCTGGCTTTGTTGCCTGAGAGCCGGCTCAAGGCCACAAGGAGCAAGAAGTCTCAGTCTTGATCCTCCTCTCACTTAGGGGAAACTGAGACACCACTAGGGAAGGGTCTTGTTTAAAGTCTCCCAGCCCACCCAGTTGCCTTCAGAGAGAGCTTTGACCTAACTGATTGCAGTTAGCAATCAGTCGGTGGTTAAATTCAACCAGAAAAATCCATTCATTCCTAATAAAATCTGCTTCTTTGGGAAGAAGAGGAGTCTCTGGCTTTGGAAAAGAATGTGAAAGAGAATTCTTCCGGAGGCAGAGTGTCTTGCAGCAGAAGGAGATAAGAGAGAATGAGAGCCCAGATTTCTCAAAGGGCGTTTATTCCTTTGTCACGGCAAATGCCACATGTATGCAGCACAGCTGGGGCGACATCTCTTCAAAGGAAAAACACCCTCATGCCCACGGAAGGATGGGAAGGAATGGCTGAGCGCTCTCGGGGAAGCTGTAAGAATGTGGGTTCAGAGCTGTCTTTGATGTGCCTGTCCTGTCCTTGCGGTGTGGGGGAGGTACCTGTGTGGGCGGGAGGAGCCCACTTGGCCAGTGAATCAGCTGTCACCACATCAGACAAAAAGACAGTTACCAAATCAATCTAGCCCTGTCATGGGGCTTGAACTCAGAGCCTGGGCACTGTCCTGGAGCTTTTTTTCTTTGAGGCTGATGCTCTACCACTACAGCTTCAGTTCTACTTCCAGTTCTTTGCTGATAATTGGAGATCAGAGTCTCGCACACTTTTCTGCTCTGGCTGACTTCAAGCTACGATCCTCAGATCTCCACTTCCTGAGTAGTTAGGATCACAGGTATGAGCCACTAGTGCCTAGCTAGCTTCTTTTAATTCTAAAAGAGTTCCTGCCACTTTCTTTCTGCTATTTAGTAATGTAAGGGACAATGTCCTCATGGTCCTTCTTCACCATTTTCATGTGTCACCTCTGGAAGATGAATGCCACAAGAATGTCACTGAGCGCATTTGTCCAAGCCTTTCTGTTGGCAAGAAGGGGCATACACATTCTATTCAGGTGAGGAGTGCATGAAGAGGTGTCCAGAGAATGAAGTATGTCCCTTCCCTGGCAACTCTAGCTCACTGAGGTAAAGCCTGGCCTAAGCCTGGCCCTCAGGGGGAATAGCTATCAAAGCATACTGGTAATCCTTCCACAATGCTCCATGACAATGCTTTTATTTTTACTCTGAAACACTGATAGGTACAGTAGAGCCGCTGGATTTTGAAAAGCCCACTGGGGACAAGTCTGCATGGCACTTTGGCCCTTCCAAGGTCACTCCTCCATAAAAATATTCTGAGGGGGGAAAATACCAACATTTCTTACCTAAGCTGCTTTAAACCTACAGCAATAAATGGGGATGAACGGAGCCACAGGCTCTTAGCCAAGCTGCATTCCTGTTCTTTCTCCCAGGCTCCCTTGATTTTCTTATCCGAATTTCAAGGCAGCACAGAAAGGACAGAAGTATGCTAGTATGGAGACTATATAAACACACACACATCAGATATAATATATAACTATACTGAAATGAGACAGATTTTCCATGAAGACTGATATTAGTTGATTCCAGCGTCATTAGAATAACCCACAGGTACAAAGCAAGGTTCATAAGAAAAAAAAACATGACTAAAAATCAATACTGAAAAAGAAAGGGACTCCAATGCCAAATTCTAAAGACGGTAACCGTGGGCCTACCTCGGGTGGCAGGTCTGGTGTGGACACTGGCATGGTGCTGCCCCCTGTTGGCCACAGTGGCTTTTGCAACTGCCTTGATTCAGAGCCAGGGACTCTGCTAGATGCACTGCTGGATGCACTGCGAGGGGATACAAGCTTGTCTACGGAGACCCTTTGTTCTGAATGTTGGCACACAAACTTGAAAACACATTTTAAGACAAATGAGTGGGAAATTTATTAAATTAATTAACTTGTTTATTGCCACAGGTACTGGGGCTTGAACTCAGGGACTGGACACTATCCCTGAGATTTTTTTTTTTTTTTTTTTGCTCAAGGCTAATGCTCCACCACTTGAGCCACAGCATCACTTCTGGCTTTTTGGTAGTTAATTGGAGATAAGAGTCTCATGGGCTTTTCTGCTTGGGCTGGCTCTGAACTACAA